CCATGTTATTCAAACTGAAAATAATAAGAAATATAGTGATCTTAACGTCGAAATCTGCAGATGCTACATCTTGACAAATCAGCGGGTAAAAAGTGTTTCCTTGAAGATATTGCATCTAATAATCAGCTATTCCTAATTACGTGTAGAACTCGAATATAGGCGGCTAAGGATTAACGTATGATAGAAAACTCTGTTGCATGAGCTCAAAAATTATTACAACATGCATTTCTTTTTCTATGATTTTTATCTACTGTTATGGTACAAAACCTGCTATGTACTCCTACCATAATGTAAACGCTGAACGTGGGATTACTTGAGCAATAACTGCGTAATGAGCGCTACCATCCGCGACGCTATTACTAGCCACAGAATAAACTTTTGCTCATAAACTAGTATTTTTTCTTTTAACAGGAATGAATGCTACAATACGGTATCAATCCATCTCATTAGTTTCATGCTGTTGTACAATCTTGTTCTTTATTGTTGTTATTTCTTAAATAAATTGAAAGAATCGGACTGACCGACATGCTATCAAAATAAAAGACTTGGTGGGCAATGTTAAGCTAACGTGCAGTCTTGTTGTTGTTGTTGTTGTTTATTGCTGTTATTTCTTAAATAAATTGAAGGAATTTGACCGATCGAAATACTACCAAAATAAATTACTTGATGGGCAATGTTAAGCTAACGTGCAATCTTGTTGTTTATCGTTGTAATTTTTAAACATATTTTAGCCAGAAAAATAAGACGTGGCATGATGATATGGTAATGTTATTAAAAAAATGTCCGTAAGTGGAAGCCTGGATCGCCCGAGTCAAATACCTTACGGCTTTGATTGAGAATGTTCGGAAATTAGTTGGATGCTAGGCTGAGCTCAGTATCACTTATTCGCAACTTGGTTTATACCGATTTTATCACAAATAATAATTAAAATTGGCAATACCTCACCTCATAAACATTTTGCAGTAATAGTTTACTCGACGAGAAATGCACAAAGGTGAAGATCTTACTAATCAAAACTATTCTTGGGAGAACATGGAAGGCTTTTTTTACACATGGTACCGAACTATAGTTTCCAATCATGTCAGAGCAACATCGTCTTTAAATATTGCCGACAATATCCTTGATGACAATGATTTACTCATAAACAATTTCTTTATTTTACATTGAATATGATTGTTGTTAAAATGGCACACTGAGATTCCATAGAAGAATGCAGAAAAAATAGAATCTTTTCTGTAGGAGTCATTTGCATAGCGTAAAGGAAAAGCCTTTCACTCTATTTGTCCTAATGGTGAACTGTCCTTTCCTGGCCGAGCTAAGAAAAATGGACATTTCAAAAAGTAAAATTGATCACAATCAAAAAAATTTAGAAGGTTGTTAAACATTATACAATATACTAGATAGGATAAATTTTAAAAATTGAATACTGTTACCACACTATGAGCAACGAAAATGCATAACTCGTATCATTTTTAATACTAACACTAAAGGCGAATGAATTGCCAATTTGGTCAGTTTTCAACTCTCTAGTTTAAACTAAGAACGACTCATGGAGAAAAATTAATCCCTGCACTCTAATTTGCTGCTTAGGGACTCCTTATCAAAAGCAATTTTCATCGATAAAATTGATAATTTTTACAGTAGCATGGGAGTTTTCCGATGCCTCCATCATGGTTGCATCTGTTTAACTTGCACTTGGAAATAAAGGGAGTAATAACTGAGACTTTCCGGTCTCCCCATTTACTCTCTCTCTCTCTCTCTCCCTACTATATAATCCCCGGGGATTAGAGAGAGAAAGTAGACGGTGGAAAAAGGATTAATACTTTACTTAAGTAGTTTCTGGTCATAAAGAGAAACCAAAATACGAAAAAATAAATTTTGCAAAAGAACCAAGAATTGAAACCCGTTTCGTTCTGAAATCAATGTTCTAGATTTTACAAGTGCAGTATTTTGATGGTTAACTTAATTGATGATCCATAGGTCATCAATAATGATTTAACAATTCACACAAATACTTCAATTTGGATTTCTTTTGAAATCTGCATACTTCCACTTATTCTTATAAAAGATATATCTAAATTTATTCCTAGCCAATTAACGAGAGAGAATTCTATAGTAGCTTTAGCGCGATAGTTGTAAACCTATTTCAACAAGGAGAACTAGAGCAAACTTTCAGCTTAGAGATGTGCATCACCTTATGATCAGGATCCCGACAGAACAGTGAATTCACACAAATCTTTCACTTTGGGCATCGTTTTAAAATCTAAACACTTCCATTAATTCTTAAAACGTCAAGATAAAATCCAAATCTATTCCAACATGGTGAGCTGGAGAGAATTCTGTATTAGCTTTAGCACTGCATATGTAAATCGATTCAAACAAAAAGAACCGAAGCCATCTTCAGGCTACTGGATATCAGGAACATTATCATCGGGATTTCTGTAGAACAGCAAACACCACATATGTGTAGAATATCTTAAGCTAGACAACATTTCTTTTAAAAGTTGGTTTCTTCATCAAGTATGTGAGTTTACTAGAGCTGAGATATCTACAAAGTATTCTTATTACTCAATTTAACGGATAGTCGATGATTAAAAAATATTCTTTACAAGTCCAAATTGCTAACTCCTATGTTTAAAGCTTACTCTACATTATTTAATGTATAGAGACTCGCGAAAGTCTGTTGAGACCGGCTTCCTCATATGCGAGAAATTCTCCTTGATAATATATCCTATTTAGTTTTCCTCAGCTATTTTTAAATCTTTCTGTTGTCAATATACAATCAATCTCGTGTATTTAGCCATGAGGATTAGCTCTTTTGCAGAAGTCAGTTCCTTTCACGATCTAGATTAAATCATTGTAGAGAGACTCGCAAAAGCGTGATTGAGCAAGGAGCCCTGAGATAGTTGACTCTATTTCATGTACGGTCTTCTTGACCTTACTGCTGTAGTATAAATTAAGCCTTATTAATATTGGTAGTAATCCCTTCTAATAAGTAAAAATTTTAAATGTTTTGACGTTATACGAAGCCTGTACTTGATGAAATATCAATTTACTGCAATTATCCATGAGCTAACTTCGCTGTGTAAGACTACTTACAGACCAATTTCTTTCTTGATCAAAATTAATCCATGTACAGAGACTTCCAAAAGTACAATTTGATCAAGAAATTATAAGGTACGAGAAAATGCATGACTGAGAAATTCCTCTTGGCGATATACGTATTCTATACGGTCTTATTGATATTATTACTGTAGTAAGTCAAGATTTTTTAAACATCATGTTGTGATGCATAGACAGAGTTAAGGAAATATCAAGTTAATGTAATTGCCCACGAGCTGGCTTTTCTTTGTAAGACCCTTTGTATAAGACCAGTTGCTCTCTTAACATCTTGCTGCTAGTCATAGACAGAAATCAATGAAATATCTAGTGCAAATTAATGCACATTATTCACGAGCTAGCTTCTCTGTAAAAACCTTTTACAGGCTCATTTCTCTCAATCCAAAGTAATCAGTATAAACAAACTTTCAAAAGTGCGATTTGACCAAAGAAACTTAAGGTACAAGGAATGCCTCCATGACAGTGTATAATCAGTTCCGTCTTATTGGAAAGTAACTATTTCGCTTAGTAATGATTAATCATAATCCATTCTAGTAAGTAAAGATCGCTAACATCATGTTGTTATACGTAGATTGCATTTCACGAGCTTTGCAAAGTCTAGTAATCAAGCAGTCTAAGTAATGCCTGCTCTTTTTGTGAATTGTATCAGAAAGAACGTCCAAGGAGTACAAGTAGAATCGATTTACTTGTCGATTTCCATTAGAAAGGCACATACTTACGGAGCACTACTCGATCTCATAAAGTGTTCAGTTGACATGTTCTAAAAGTATTATCATATAAGAAATGAACTGTGATCAACTAAACTACAGTACAACAAGGTTATATTTGCTCCGTTTTCAATGTGCTGCCACGTTATGATTAAACAAGGTAAAGTGACTTTTCATGATATTTCTAGTCCATTTCAGTAACTATGAGTGTAATAAAAGCATTCTTAATTAAGTATCCATTTTTTCAATGCCAACCCTAACCTTAACTTTTACTTATACTGTGGCTTTAGCCTTTTTTGTATGACATATCTCGGCTTGTAGCAGATACCCATCAAAACTGCCAATTTACTGCTCCATCTTGGCTATGCAATTCTTCACACGGAGTCAATAGAAATATGCTTTCTTGAGTTTATTGTAATTAATTACGTGTCACTATAAGTAGTAGTAAGAGTTTTAACTTTTACTTATTCTAGGCCGTTAGCGTTTTTCCGTACAACATATTGCAGCTTGTAGCTGATACCGATTAAAAAACTGTCAATTTACTGCTAAATCGTAGTTATGTAATTTTTCACATGCACTCCATCAAAACATGCTTTCTTAATGCTTTCATAGATTACTGGTCAAAAATCGAGTCATTCTACTATTTACTCAATTGTAATATTGCATAGCAACTCGAGAAGAAAATATTGCACAACAGGAATACGAGTAAAGACTTCTTTTATTTCATTGGTAATTCTTATATGATCTTATTTCGCTAGAGAGCTAATACGTAGACGCCTAGTTCAATACATTCACATAGTTTATGGCATCAATTTGTATAACTTGATTATCGTTATTTTCTTCCACTACTATACTTATTGGCATCTGTATGGTTGCTTTCGCTTAAATAATGACTATAGATCATGACTATATCATTTGAATTTATGTATTACGATTGATAGATTAAGGCTAAAGTATCTACGGAAGATGGATAGTTGAGAATAACATATAAACAACATGACTACCTCAACGATAGACAACTGCAGTAGTAAAGCATGTAGCCAATACGAGATAAAGCTATAGCATTATTATCCACACTTGGTCAATCTAACTGGAGATTTTGTTACACATTTGAATTACCATTAACCGTTCAATGGGAAAGGAGGATGTTGGATAATCCTTCGGTTGAGACTTTCAAGCCATTTTTTCCGATCGACTAGATAAATCACCAAGGAAAATTTTCTTAAATGGGTTAGAGTTAGGTATGTAAGATAGCCTTTTGTGACCTCTTTTAAAAGGGATAAATCCTTGCTTTCTTGTATCTCTCTGCTACAGTGAGGATAAAATAAAGCCATGTTTACATTAAGTAAGCTAGGATTAGCATTTTTGTAATGAACTTAAAAATACTGAAGATTTCATCGAATAACTTCTCTATAATATATACCATTCATCTGTAACTAGGTATCACTTATTTATTATCGACATGAGACTTACTGAAAACCAAGATACTACATTCTTTGCTTCCGATTTCTCACTATCATCATCTTGCTATCAATAATAATGCATGAAGAAAGAAATTGGTTAACATTAATGGCAATCGATCATGATTTTGATACCTACGCAAATTATTCTCTACTATTACAAATTTACAATTAGCAGTTTGCATTAACCGTTTTTAACCAGATGTGTACGAATCGATCAAAAAATGGCAATAACAGTTAATTACGTGATCACAACTCGGGGCTAGGGTTCCTAATTCTAGCTTGTTGTTATTAGTCTATTTTACAAATTTTCTAGAACAAATTTAAGGTAACTAATGAATCGCTTCAATTTGGGTCTATAAACCCTTGTTTCTACGATGGTTGATGCCAGAAAAGTACAGTAAGAGGTCTACAGAATTTGCTAAGATATGATTAAACGTAAGTACGATATCATCAACATTTTTATTAATGCAGATCAAATATATTTGTAATAGATGATTTTCTCTCTTATTAAATACAAGAAAGGGTTTTTTCAAAATGCGATGATAACCTCTCCTAAATATTGAAAGTGGTAATATTCCTATCAATCAGTCTTTTTCTCCTACATAGTTACTTCTTGGAACAACTAGTATATACTATGGAGTATGCCGAATCTTTTAAATATTACTTTACGCCAGATTAATTCAATCTTTTTTAGTCTAAATTATTCCTTCAATTTCTAGTATACAAATAAGCTAAAGCACTGCTGTACGTATATTCGCATAATTAATAACTCTTTATAACAGATTAAATAGGTTTTAAATTCTTTGCTCTTTCGTTAAGTACATTAATTGGTCTTTCAAAATCCGATCATAGCCTATCCTAATATTTAAGAGTTTAATATTCCTACAAATCAGTATTATTCTTCTATAATAGTTGATCCTTAAAATAGCTAGTTTAAACAAAAAGGACTATGTTGCATCGATTGAACATTCCCTTACAGGAGATAAAATCTGTTACAATCTATCATTTACCCTTTACTTAAATAGAATCTTACGAGTATCGAAATCAGATAATAGCCTATTCTAAATATTTAACCTTTGTTAATAAGTTTACAAAATTGCTACTTGAGTATCACAGAACTGTTAGTATAAGCTATAAACTATGAATTCAATATTTTTTGTGGAAATGAAATCGATCATTTACCCTTTTCTTAAATAGAATCATTGGAATTTCAGAATCAGATGATGGGCCATCCTAAATATTTAACATTTCGACATATCTGATAAGCGTTTCTCATCAATTATAACGATTCTATAAATTTCTATACTGCACTGCAGTATGGCTAATATAAACTAAAAACAGTATGTTGAACATTATCTATTGGAAAGGGAGTTTATATAACCTATCATTTACCCTCTTCCATATAATAATCGGGCGTTTAGAATCAGCTGATTGGCTATCCTAAATATTTAATATTTCGACATACCACATAAGTTTTTCTCAGTAATCATAACAAGCCTACTAAATTCCTACACTAAACCACAGAACGGCAAATATAGAGTAAGAATTATGTATTGAACATTTTCCATCAGAGACTAATCTTTTATAGCCTATCATTTATCCTCTTCTTAAATAGGATCATTGGAGTTTTAGAATCAGATGATAGGCTATTCTAAATGTTTAATATTTTGACATGCCTGATGAGCATTTCTTACTAATCATTAACCGCAGAACGGCTAATATACTCTTAAACTAAGAACTAAGTAGTAAATATTTTCTATTTGGAGGCTAAATCTTTAATATCCTATCATTTGCTCTATTTTTGAATAGATTAATTGAAGTTTTAGAATCGGATGATAGCTTATCGTAAATATTTAGGGTTTTGGCATACCGGGTGAGTATTTCTATAAGATCATGTTAAGCCTACGCAACTACTACACTAGTATAAAGTGAAAGGCTGTATTTTAGTTTATTGAGAGATCAGATGGCTACTATTTTATACTTGAGTATTTTCCTAAAGTAAACGAATGGGTTATTAAATTTCGATAATGATTCTATCCTTTAATATCATAAAACTTTGATATGCTATACTATCTCGGTATCCCTTTCTTAGCCTATTTTTTACTAATTAAAAATTAATTATATACAGAGGTGATAATCATACACGTAAGCGTTTTCGGCAATAAGATTTGTCGGTAGGCTCGAAACGGTTCGTAAAATCATATGATAAATTTATAAAACATCTAACTAGTTTAGGAGTTGCTGTAATGAAATTATTAATTTAAATCGTAACGATTTAACTCCTTATCTTAATTTAAAAATAGCCTTGTAATACGGGATAGTACACTTTGAATACAGATAGCATTGACGGGACTTATTTTCAAATGCATCATCAGATAATGTAGACCCTATTGCGTGATTTACCTCTTTCTTGAATAAGGGAGTGTCAGCTTTCTCCGAGAGTTCACCATCTTGATCCTGCGATTTTAAACAAAAATAAAGCTATGTTATTGATGCGAAGCAGTTTTATAATCATACTTGGTCAACAAATTGCGATTCTGCGTAAAATGTTATTTCAGTTAATCTGGTTCTCGGTACACAATTTACCTCTTTTTTAAATAAGGGATGGCCATAAAGTATAGAATTTCCGTTTTGAGCCTTTTAATAACATATTCAAAAGATAGCTATGTCAGCCGTGTAAAATCCTTTATAAAAATTGTTGACTAAATCTTTAAAATGTAATTTCCTTTTAAAATATAATTACAGAATTATTAAAGCTACTTCTTTCTTAAATAAGAGATTGCCTATTAGTGGGTTATATTTATCCTTTATGAAGATAATGATAAAATCGCAATAGAAATTAACTATATAGTAAAGGAGGAATGTCTACAATCGCTCTTGATATTGTAGATATTCAGGCAATATAGTATGTGACATCGTACAATGTACGAATGAAATTATGGCGTACTGGGAAATAAACACGTTTAAATATGATTCGCTATTATCACTGCTATCTTCCAAGTACTGCATTTGCAAGTAGCTTCATAAGATAGTTTAATAATGCATTCAATTGCAACAGTGTATAGCTCGTGAAATGAATTAAAATAAATGCTTTGAGTAATCAACATCTTTGCGTGTATTCAATAAAAACTGCCATTAATCTATTTTATATCCACTTATTATTTATATACTATAACATTAATAAGAAATAGCGTTATGATTCGCTAATAAAAGCAGTAAAATTTCTATCAAGGTTATTGTTAACTTATATCTATTCTGAACAAAGCATGCCCTATTTGAGAATCCTATCCATTTGCATTAAGGGTGTAGATAACTTATACATTTTAAATAACCCTAAGATACTATACAATTTAGCCGTTAGCATACTCAGTACAGTTACTATCGAATTTATAGTTAACTTACGTCTTTTCTGAACAAAGCATACCCATCTTGAGAATCCTACATAAGAGATAACACAATCGTCACTATATGTATATTCTGTTAATTATAATATCGTTAACTATGGAAACTGTTTAACTATCAGCTCGTATACAATTGCATTAAAGGTGTAGATAACTTATGCTTTTTAAGTAACCCTTAGATACTATACAATTTAGCCGTTAGTATACACAGTACAGTTGCTATCAAATTTATAGTTAACTTACATCTTTTCTGAACAAAGCATGTCCTGGTTGAGAATCCTATACAATTACATTAAGGGTGTAGTTAACTTACGTTTTTTAAGTAACCCTTAAATGCTATACAATTCAGCCGTTAGCATACACAGTACAGTTACTATCGAATTTATAGTTAACTTACGTCTTTTCTGAACAAAGCATACCCATCTTGAGAATCCTACATAGCAGATAACACAATCGTCACTATATGTATATTCTGTTAATTATAATATCGTTAACTATGGAAACTGTTTAACTATTAGCTCGTCTACAATGCATTAAAGGTGTAGATAACTTATGTTTTTTAAGTAACCCTTAGATGCTATACAATTTAGCCGTTAGCATACACAGTACAGTTGCTATCGAATTTATAGTTAACTTACATCTTTTCTAAACAAAGGATACCCTTGAGAATCCTACATAAGAGATAACACAATTGTCACTATATATATATTCTGTTAATTATAATATCGTTAACTACGGAAACTGTTTAACTATTAGCTCGTCTACAATGCATTAAAGGTGTAGATAACTTATGTTTTTTAAGTAACCCTTAGGTGCTATACAATTTAGCCGTTAGCATACACAGTACAGTTGCTATCGAATTTATAGTTAACTTACATCTTTTCTGAACAAAGGATACCCTTGAGAATCCTACATAAGAGATAACACAATCGTCACTATATATATATTCTGTTAACTATAATATCGTTAACTATGGAAACTGTTTAACTATTAGCTCGTCTACAATGCATTAAAGGTGTAGATAACTTATGTTTTTTAAGTAACCCTTAGATGCTATACAATTTAGCCGTTAGCATACACAGTACAGTTGCTATCGAATTTATAGTTAACTTACATCTTTTCTGAACAAAGCATACCCTTGAGAATCCTACGTAGCAGATAACACAATTATCACTGTATATATATACATTTTTCGATTAATTATAATATCGTTAACTACGGAAATTGTTTAACTATCAGCTGGTGTACAATTGCATTAAGAGTGTAGATAACTTATATTTTTTAAATAATCCTTAGATACTGTACAATTTAGCTGTTAGCATACAGTACACACTCAGTTGCTATCAAATTTGTAATCAACTTATATTTTTCGGAACAAAGCATTCCCTATTTGAGAATCCTACATAGGAGATAACACAATTATCACCTTATATGTTTTTTATTAATTATTTAAATGTATTAGCTAATTTAGGATGAAAAAAGTTACTGGATAAAGGGAATTGCTACTTTATAAGGATAGTCCATGATTTGATAAATTATACACCGTAAGGCAATATCAAAGCCATGATCACCAGTAAGTTTGACAAATCGAGTAATGCGCTTATAAAATAATCACTTATGGCCAAAACTTATCCAAAATTGTTTAACACCATACTTTCTACAGCATGAGATTATAATTACAACTACTGAGTTATTTACCAAATCTTCCTTCTTAAAAAGCGGGTAACCAATCATTAACTTAGGCTCTGTTTTCTTTGGTTTTTTGCTCTTTTCATCAGTATTCTTGCTGATTGCTAAAGAAGTATAATCATTGAAAGTATTTCATTCATTAAGCACTAAAAAATTAGTTTAATGAGAAGTGACAGATAGATAGCTGTTAGGATAAATTGATATTCTATGTAGAGTTTAAAAAGATTCAAAAAAACCATTTTGCTTTTATTCGGGTATATACTCTATTTTAGCAGCTAAAAGCACCATTAATGTTTATTATCGACCGATGAACTTACTATCGTAAGAATACCAAGATCTGATTTAGAAACTGTGTAAATAAGATGTGCAGCTTATACGATCTTAATAATGCAAAATTGATAGAATGAAAGTATATCTTTTAATATTATCATTAACACTCTTAATTTGTGTGTCCATGCGTCTGTAATGCTAATCTAAATGCTAAATTAACATTATGGATTTCTTTACCTAAAAGGACAAAAGTGATCACTGATATTTTTATACAATTATAATACAGATAATGGATAATTTGGCTCTGTTACTTTCTACTTCCTACCAAAAGTTTTTAAGAAGGATGGTTTTACTTTATTTGCATCAGGAGTTTCTGATGAGACTATAAAAGGCTGGTACCTGTAGACCACTTTTTATTTAGTTATTCTGTTAGTTAGTCAACTAGTTTGTCAATTACTAATGAATTGGCGAGAATATAATCTTGGTTGTCAACTTTTCTTCAGTAATAAATAGTAGTAATTCTCTGACTATATTGTCTACACCATCACTGACGCTATAACTATACTATAGTATTCAGTCGTTGGAAGTGAACTATTTGGTGATATAGCTAATCTCATCTCTCTAAGTCAGTAAGAGGTGTTTTTCGTTAGCGTTAGCGTGTGTGGACTCACTTAGTCACTAGCAGTGTGTGAAAACCGGTACTTAATTAAAGACCGCTTAATTGAACGTCTATTACCATCACAGGTAGGAGTACATAATAAGGATGTAATAAGCCAAATTTTAATATAGTCGCAATATAACAGATAAACTTGAGAATTAAGTGTTGAGCAGTATAACTTGATAATAAGCAATTTACTGAGATGGTAGTAATATTTTAAATGATTCCAATACATCACCAAATATATTGTATACTATTCTTGACAAAGACCATGATGACTATAATACGGAACCATATACTGTGAAGTAGAGGTTATATTAATTAATTATTCATTTTAACTAGTCAATATACAACAAAACTTGCGTGCATTATCTAATCGTTCCGGTATCATTATGATTGATTAACAGTATGGTATTATGCAGTAAAGTTAATACATTTGTAATAAATATAAATGCCTATCCAAATGAAACCGTCGATTGATTAATGAGTAGCGCATACTAGATTGGAACTGAGCAATGACAATTGAATGCTCACACTATTACCAGAGACGAGCGATGGGCGAAAAAAATAGAAATAACGAAAATAAGCGAGCAAATATTGCTCTGGCTGCATAATAAAGAATGGTGCACACACAAAAAAAAATTGAAATATGGCAATTCTTCTCATCAAAATCTTGAAAAAAAAATAGAATCAGTAAAATTTGACCTTTTTTCTTGTTTAAAGTTCATAATGGGATAACTATAATAAAACGATTTCTATAAATTTTTAATGTCGACGCCTGTATATTACTTGTACTTCATGCTCAATGGAACAGTAAGATGGAGACTTAAAATAGGTTAGTTGATTAATATCAGATTTCTATCAATCGCTCACTAATATAAAATTATTTTCAAATGTTAAATTGCTGATATAAAGAAAGGTGCATGAAAATGAGATTAACAAGATATTACTGTTAACCGATAACCGATAGATTGAACTGGAGAAAGAAGTGACAGAGACTTATACTTTAATAAAGTTGTTAATAACTATCAAATATTGTACCCGTAAATATGGTGAGTAAAATTATTAAGCAATTAGCAGGAATCTGCTAATATTTAACGCTTTATATCTGTAGCAAGGAAGCTAAGACACTGGGTCGGTGATGAATCGAAGACGATAGTAGTAAAACTAAAATTCTAATTGTTATGGTGCTAAGATATTTAAAAGTACTAAGATTATCGACATACAGTAAGAAGTCCTTGGTTAAAAATTTCTATTTTACAAGTAGAAAAGTATCTTAGAATTTGAACGGTGGAAAACAAATTACTTCAAATAAAAATCTAAGCGCTAGTTTAATGCTCAAAACGATAAGTACATAACCACCTATTTCAATAGTTAGGAGCAATGTGACAATTTTTTTTCATTAAAAGACTCACATTTAGTAAGAATGGAGACTATAAAATGTTATCTTGAATATTATGTCAGATTATTGGAATATTTTTAAACATTTCTAAAATAACGACTGTAAAACTTTACTAAGTATGGTAAATTGAGACATTTACGACGTTAATGTCAAAAAATAGAGATCTTTAAGTTCGATTAGATCAATTCGATTAAATTGATAGTTTAAGATATATAAATGTAAGCGCACATGTTTGCCAATTAACTAGTTGCGATGTACAGTAGAAATAGTTGAAAGTTTGATTATGCTATTATTCATAGGTCACAACAGTTCCATACGTAGCCAATTTAAACCAATAAATAAAACTACTTTCATCGTTAACCTACCTCTGCAGCTGACAGCAACAACTAGTAAGGTAAAGACCAAGATTGTTCTCATGATGAATCAAACAAGGTAACCACTGTAGTCTAGATTATAAAATATGATACAACGTTAAGATTCGTAAAACCTTCATTTATGAGTGAATGATCTGTAATAAATTTGTTATAAAGTGTTAATTACCTAAAGTGATAAGAGAAAATTATATCTATGCTTTAGGAAGAACAAAGAATAGTGAAGGAGAATATCAAAGTGATTAATTCTATGGTTTACAAATGCACTTTTGAGGGAGTGAGATAATGTATAGGATACCCCTTTCATTAGAATTTGAATAATAATTTTCGTGCATAAGTATAGTTATAAGAATAAGAATGTTGCTTTTATCTATTTTAATAGGATATCGAGTTGCAGTATTGAAAAAATTTCAACTCTCCCTATGCATCCTATGAGAAATGAAATAATCTACCCAATATCGGATTGATCCTTTTAATCTATCTATATAGCCAAGATGTCAATCTACCTACGGGATTCTCTAATATTCAAAATTGAAAACAGGCAAAGAAATAGCTTACATCGATTTTCAAAATTTGTCAGTTTGATGGAGGCTATTCGTCCTTAGCAATTTCCAATGGTAAAACTGGAATTTAAAATTTGTAGGATCGAATTACGAAGTACATACATATATATAGATTTGAAATGCATAAATATTTAAAAACGACGCCTGAGATACATATTATTAAATAATCAATCAATTTTATTCTTATTCATTCAAAGCTTATCAATTATTCAGTAAGAATGAGTAGACACAATAATTTGAAAAGAAATACGAGTATATATTTGAGCTATTTCTACATAAATAAATGGTAGTGGAGAAATTTTAAAAATTTTAACAACTATTATTATTAACAATTAATGCAATAGCTTAAAGAGTTATTGGCTGAAGTCGGCATTTGAATAGGATCCATTTAGTAACATATATATCAATCATGATCAACATATTTTCTCAACTATGCCGGAAACAGAAGAGTTAACAGACAAGAACAATACACTTAACATACTCCTTTGACATTCTTTAATAATTTAAACTTGAACGGATGTTAAATTGATATTGGCGTTATAAGAAAGCAGAGGTAGAGGTCATCTTATGAAGATAACTTAATAACATCTTATCCGTATTAAGGAATATTTTTATAATATAATATTATTAACTTGAAAAGCTTAATCTATTTTGATCATCAAGATTTTAACTATCTACAGTATTAGTAGGAAACAATTGTCTACTCAATATAATATAATAATCGCAACCATTCTAGTAATAAGGTGAGAAAAACGAAAGCTGGAATTGAAAATAAAATATCATATTTTGTCTTGCTCTCTATTTTTAATCTATTCTCATTTCACGTCATACTACAATAACAATTGTAATGGCTATCGTCTTCGTTTTATTTATAATCTATTACTATTAAAAATAGAAAAGATGTTGATAATCTATTGCTGACTACTACAGGAATAAATGCAGCTAGCGTCATAGGCAAGCATTAAATCTATAGACGATACTTAGACAACAAAATTAATGCAAGTATTAGTATAGCTATAAATAATAATTTGCATAGCGTTATCATCAAGAGACGCGCAGATGTATTAAATTTAATCCATAATCGTAGTTAAGCTATTAACGCATTAAACTCGATCCATTTTGCTAAAAAGCTACGTTCCTGGTTTATGATAAAAGACAGTACAGTAGACAGATTCAAGCATAAACAGGAATACATTAAAAGTATGTTTTATCTTTATTTAATCGTTAGATAATGAAGAATTAATAATCAATAACTTAATGATTCATAATTTAGTGATATACCAATTTAGCTAGAATAGTATAATATTGACTTGATTAATTCAATTAATCCAAGTACGAAGAAATGAGAATAGTATCTTCTCATCTAATATTAGTATAATGAACAATTCTATTATTTAATCTTGACTCAGCAATACTATATTAACATCTTGAAAATGGAGAACAATTCTATGCTTCATAATTAATTCGATGTGATAATATCGTTGAATCTTGTCCTCTATAGTCTTTCTTTAATCAAGCCAAAAGTTGATGTCGATTATTATCTATTGAATTTACAGATGATAAAATTTCTATCTAAAAAAATGGATCAGATCACTTCTACTTTGACTACGATACAATTTAAATTTCTTTCCATGTAGTAAAGTTCAAGTCTATATCCAAGATTACAAAATGTAGAGTTGCTCAATCAACTTTTACCCCTCCTATTTCCCCCTCTTCTTTCATATCACTTTACAAAGAGGACTACAATTTTTGCGACAACAATAGTTATCATTATTGGTAACATTTATTCTATTCATTTCTTTATTCACGGCATCTATTCTATTTTTACACTTTATAAAAGCCATCATTCCATCATTAATATCTAATTAAAATAGAACACGATTATTCAAGCTGTTATGAATAACTCCAGATGATAGATGCAATAAAATTAAATATCCTAAATAGACAATCCAGTGTGCTTATGACTGATGTTATTGATAATCTTCAAGGTATTGAAGCTTTCTTTTCTTAACAACTGGATTTTCTGAACAAAATATGAATTTTCTTCCATGACCGCATCGATTATCAAAGCGATTGATCATAATGGGAATTAAAAGATGCGGTGTAAGCGAAAATCGTAAGCGCTAAAATCAAACTGCAAATCTTCGATCATAATACCAACATGAATAAATTTTGAAAATTCTATCATACCGTGGTATTCTATTTTGAAGAAAATTCCATCGAACTGATGAGTTCATGACCAAATGGCGATCATTTGCCATCCATTTATTGCGATCAGTTCTATTAGTAGTGCTATTATGAACCACTTTTGTTTTCTAGTTCCGATCAATCTTTTAACTTATTGCAACACACAATAGAAATAAGCTTTAACATAGGATGTCAATGACCCTAAACAAATACAAACAAGTTTTATGGCTATAGTTTAAAATTACGGTATCACTTTATTTCCGTAAAATGCCGTCATATCATTTAGAAGATACCGCTATGCTTTAGTCATATGTAAGCTTGCTCAAGTCTGGTCATGACCGTATTAGGGAATTTTATTTTATCGAGTATTTTTTCAAAGTCTCCAGTGCCCTATGAGAATATTTTACTACGGTTGTTCTTATCAAAGCAACTACTGTACTTGTCCTTAATACTACTTTAATTACGGTTGAACCTGGATAGATAGTAATTCAATCGTTGATATACTTAAAAAGATCCGAATCAAAGTGGCGCTGTTGTTTTAGTTGGACTTTCATTCATCATCTTCATATTCGTAGAGCTATCCTTTTGAGAAATATTTTCTAACAGTAGGCACAATGGTAGCACGGAACGCTAATAATCCTTTCATCTATATTCTAACCTAAACGATAACTGTGCAATAATGCTCCTGTCGTAATGTATCCACATACATGGCTTCTATTTTACATTAAGATGTAAAGATGCTATAATCTAATTATAAAGTATACAGCCAGCTTAAAGATAGAATGTAGACAATTAACTATTCACATTCATTTTGGTTATTAGAAATGAACTTTTATTATATAAATCAAATCAATAAAAGTTTTTGTTTCGTAAGAGAATTTCAAGACGATGAGGGATAACACAAACAATTTCAAATTGACTGGATATGTACAGTAGCTATTGGTTAGAATAGAATAAATATATTCCTTAAAATGAATCTTAGCCTAGATATTAAAATTCAATTAGTATTCGATTCATAAGCAACGTTAACGAAATAATTAGCAATAAACTATAATTTGATATAGTAAGGCAATATAAAACTACTCTTAAACCTTGTCTGTTCACTTCAAGGTCGCTCATATCATCATAAAGCGATATACCAGTCATGATGGTCTATACTCCGTATATTAAGGGATACATGGAAAAAAATAAAGATTTGATCATAGACAAGTACTGAATATGTGATCTTTGCAATAGCGGAAGTATGAGGCTCTGAAAGAACTCATTTTATTGAATACTGTAATGTAGATCAAAGGTCGTCTATTATCTCCGAGTTTTAAAGTAACTTCCATGTTTAAAAATTTCTATCTAGTGGCATATTTGTATACTGTGTACTTTCAGCTTTAACCTAGAATCAGCGACGTTTTTATGTTGGTACTTAATTTCAATCTTAAAAATTAGATAGAACGGCTATTTCAAAAGCAATTCCTACGCTTTTTTTTTCAGATATCTTGCTGTACAAAAACCATCATTTGTTTCATTTCTCTGTTACAAATACAGTAGCCAACATGACATCAATGTCTAGACTACCATTACTTTCTCTATCATCCTACCAATTGTAATACTAATAAATTGTCGACAGATCGTAATTAGCCACTTGACTGTCATTAAGCTATTGGTAAACAATATTGAAACAAGAGCTTAAAACTTGTATAATCCATTACACTACTGTGCCACAGCGATCTTATACGGATAATCTTCGACGAAATGGGCCTATTCACTTCAAAATGTCGACTAATTTTAATTCTATTACAGAATTTATTTTACGAGGGCGATGCTCAGAGTTGCCACCGTCAATTAATTTTTTTATAAATTGATCATCAAAGTCTTGCTTTTGACAGCAATATATCGCTATACTCTTTAATTTAATTTCTATTAAATATGATTGCTGTTGACTGTTACGAAAGTAATACTAAGAGGGATCACCATTCATGAACATTTTTTTATAAATTGGCCATCAAAGTCTTGCCTTTTAACAGCAATATATCGCTATACTTTTCAATTTAATCCCTATTGAATGCGATAGCTGTTGACTGTTACGAAGCGATGCTAAGAGGGATCACCTTTCATTCACTTTTTTTTATAAATTGATTATCAAAGTCTTGCTTTTGACTGCGATATATCGCTATACTTTTCAATTTAATCCCTATTTATCACGTCAAAGTATTGCTTTTGGCAGCAATACATCACCATACTTTTCAATTTAATTTCTGCTAAACACGATAGCTGTTGGCCGTTACGAAAACGATACTAAGAG